GAGTCAGATCTGGGTCAACCCCTGGCCTGCCTCAGCGACTTCATACATTCATGAGCACATGCATGCCCGCCCTCCTTATTAGGCAGATGTGATCGGCCCACGCTGCTGTGGGAAACAGGCGGACCCTTGGCAAGGGCCCAAGGTGAAGTTCGTTTATTTAGCCCCTCAGGCAGACGCAGGGCAAAGAGGAAGGAGCCTAGCAGCTCTGAGGCTCAGCCCTGCGGATGACCCTGGCCTCAGTATTAGGCTGTCCTTACGTTCCTATAGCAAGAATATGTGCACTCTGATTCCTCTTCGGGGTCACCTGCCCTGCGTGGAGAGTCCTCTGACTCTCAGCCCAGAAGTGGGTGCTGGGGATGGAGCTCAGGGCGTTAAAGGAAACTAAGAGAGAATTCTGAACGCAATTACTAGATAACATTTTTTGGGTCTCTGCAGAAGTATGCCTTGGTGTGCTCTTAAAACACAGAAGATGGGGCAAAGAGAAAATGCAGCGGAAAAAAGGAAGGTCTGAGTCTGACCCAAGAGCAGGCAGAACACCCCCTGATGGGCATCCCTGCCACTTACCTCCACTTTGAGCACCAATAATGACCTATGTTCTAATGCCTATGTTCTGTTCTCTAGCCATAGCAACAATGACTAGGAATAAGTTGGAAAAATGAGCCAAGAGTCAGTGCAAGCCAATGTCAAAGGCCTCACTGCTGTGAGCTGAGCCCAAGTAGAGCCAGAACCTTCCCCAGCTTGGGTGGCAGGGGCCCACTTTGCGATGAGCCTGCTATATTCACTGAAGGGCTCAGGCCAAGGCTAACTTTACTCTATAAAGCGGGTGGTTCTGAAGCGTGGTCTGTGGCCCAGCAGCAGCAGCATCACTCAGGAACTTGTGAAGTGAAGTCGCTCAGTTGTGTCTGACTCTTTGCGACCCCGTGGACTATAGCCTACCAGGCTCCTCCATCCATGGGATTTTCCAGGCAAGAACACTGGAGTGGGTTGCCATTTCTGTCTTCAGGAGATCTTCCCAACCCAGGGGTTGAACCTGGGTCTCCTGCATTGTAGGCAGACGCTTTACCATCTGAGCCACCAGGGAAGTCCAGGAACTTGTAACAGATGCAAATTCTTGGCCCTTCTCAGATCAACTGCTTTAGAATTCCCCCTGGGTGTTTAAGGAGTATTTACCATGAGGATGCCAGGAGGGAGCCTAAGAAGCAGTTGAGGTGGGGACAAGGGAAGCAGGAAGGGGTGGTGTGTAGACTAAACTGAGAGCAAATTCCCATGAGCACATGTTCGAGGCTGTGGAGAGCCTGCCAGGATCAGGCATCCAGGGAATAAGTTAACAAGGTCCCTGGTGCTCTTGTCAAGAGCAATCCATTGTGATGGTATAATCCCCAGGCCAGTGTGCAATGGATTGAGGGAAAAATAGAGACAATCTCAGGAAGCTTAACCATAAAAAAGGACAAAAGACAGGGCAGGGGCAAGAGGCAGCCAAGAGGTGGGTGATTGTTCTGTTATTAATGTGGGGAAATATGGAAACATAAGCAAATTTGCTGGAGGAAGAGGTTCAAAAGAGAGAGTTGAGGCTGCAGCAGGGAGGGGAGCAAATTTGAAGGAGCAGATTACTGCCCAAGGGAGCAGAAAGGGATGGACTCAGGGCACAGCCTAAGGGTTGGTCACTCTCGGTCGAGGAGATGGATAGCCCTTGCTGGAAATTCTCTGGGTTCTCAGCTAGAAGGAAATAGAAGTAGGTGGGGACAGATAAATGGGCGAATTGAAGGTGTTAAGGTGCTGTGTGATGGTGAAGTGTGAGGTCAGCTGCAGTGGGATGTGCCAGCATAGAGTGTGGGCATTCCAGGGGTGCAACAGCGCCCAGTAGAATGAGGCAAGGAAGGGGCCGCTGGGGCCTGGGCTGGGTGTCCGTGCTTACAGAAGGCAGGGCTCAAGGGGCAAAGGCTTGGAAGTGGCCTCAGGGACCCAGGAGAAAACCTCCAGCTGGCCCCATGGCCAACGCCTGGCCTTGAATTTTGGAGAATGAGCAGCTTTTCCCAGGCAGTGGGTCCTGAGGGCAGTCAGTCCCACAAGGTGCAGGTGGAAGGGACAGAGGGGCAGAGGCTGAGGAGGTGGGGAGTGAGGACCTCAGACCCAGGGTTCAAGGTGGGCTAGGCTGGGCTGAAAGGGGTGGGATGGAGGGAGCAGTTGGGTCTAAAAGGAAACAGGGAGGGCTCTTGAAATAGAGGAGGAAGAGGATCTGACTCCAAAGACCTTGAGTTTGGGGCCATGTCATGGGCCAGGGTGGGAGCGTAACTGCTGGACTAGGTGGGCACAGGCTGAACCACAGGGGCCCAGAGGTTGCCAGGGCCAGCCGATGCTCTGCAGGCTCTGAGCCTTAAGGAGGAGGCAGGGACGAGGGGGCCGACATCCCATCCCCTGAGTCCGCAGGACCTGTCCCCACTGGGCTGTGGTGTCGCCTTTGATGGCCTCTTCTCTCACTCTGCCCAGATTAACACATCCCAGTGAAGCTCCCACCTTCTCTACAAGCCTTCCCTGATCACCATGATGTATAGTTTCATGTACACGGACGTACAAACAAGATCATATGCCAATCAAAGAGTTATCGCCTATGTTTTATAAGGATGTCACTATAGAGTATGGGAGTCCCTGGTAGCTCAGTGGTCAAGATTCCATCTGCAAGGCAGGAGACACGGGTTCGATCCCTGGGTGAGGANAGTGGGATTGCTGGGTCATATGGCAGTTCTATTTCCAGTTTTTTAAGAAATCTCCACACTGTTTTCCATAGTGGCTGTACTAGTTTGCATTCCCACCAACAGTGTAAGAGGCTTCCCTTTTCTCCACACCCTCTCCAGCATTTATTGCTTGTAGACTTTTGGATATCGGCCATCCTGACTGGCACGCTCCAGCACTGTTACCTGGAGAATCCCATGGACAGAGAAGCCATGTTCTGAAGGGTCACAAAGAGTCGAACACAACTGAGCCCCTGAGCACACATGCAGTGTGCAGGATATCATGTTTATTATAAACGCTTAAGAGCGGAAATGAAAAATTATTAGAAAACAGCTACAAATAGAAGGTGTGATGTATTCTGCCTGTTCCTTAAAAGATGACCCAGCACCGCTCAGGCTGCACACATCCCGCTTTGAGACAACAGGGCTACAGTGTGAGCTGCCGGGGTGTGCTGATAACTCAGATTTTCTCCACGTCTCCTTTGTGAATAAGAATTGTGTCATGGGCATAGTAGGTGGTCAGTAAATATTTGTGAAAGAGACAAACAAGTGACCCAGGAAGGCTTTAGAATAGAGGCTGCGTCACATCATGGCCAGCGGTGTGGACTTTGGAATCAGATGGATTGCAGTTCAAGTTCCAGCTTTGCCCAGCCCTGACACTGAGGGCAAATCCTTAGGTCTCCTGGACCTTCATTTTCTCCCCAGCGAAAGGGGCACAATGCTCAGAGCTCCCTGAAGGCTGCTGTGGGCTGGAGCTCACCATGAGGGGGACTACTGCCAAGCAGCGGTGTGATGTGAGTCCCCTGAGTAGCCAAGTTTTCATAGGAGGGCACAGGATGGGTGTGAATTTTGGCCGAGGTCAGTGACTGGAACTTGAGCGTCAGGGGAAAGTGGCCAAGGCAGAACTGGACCAAGAGTAGCTTCCCTGATGCCTTTTCAGACAAAGGATTGGTTTGGTTTCAATTCTGAAAATGGTCCTTATGGAAAACTGCTATGTGACCAAGTGATTTTCTGTTTTTTTCTTTAAATAAAGCTTATTATATTTGCTTCATTATAAAGCAAATTTATCAAGGAAATGAGAAAGATGTAGAAAAAATGAGATGACAAAACTCACATTTCCACCATGGAAAGATCATCTTTTTAACATCTTGCTATATTTTCTTCTAGCCTAAAAAAATTCTATGCCTTTTGAAAGACATAATTGTGAGTATTATATAAATATATATGTGTGTGAGAGCTATAAATTTGTCCTATTTTTTATTTGACATCATGACATAGCCTTTTCCTCATTATTACAGATTCTTTGTGAGCATGAATTTTAGTGACCATGTCCACCCACGGAACTGTTTTACCACGTGTTTCTGGAGCCTCTGCAGCTCGGCTGTCTCCTCCGGTGGTGGGCAGTCCAGCCTCCATCCTTGTGTCTTCAACGTGCAGGGCCTGACTCCAGCATGGCTTTAGGGCTCCGTGGCACAAGACCCAGCAGAAGGATGAGGTCTGTGTTCAGCAGACGCAGGCGCCAAACCACACTCACCTCCGACCTTTACTCCTCTACTTCTTCCGAGTAGTAACAACGAGACCTGCCTAGCAAGGCAACTTCGAGTTTATGTGAGATTCTGGCTCTGAGGCCGCGCTCTGAATTGCCTGGTGTTGTCCAAACCTTGGCTTATTGGATTCGTCAGCGTACTTTACCTGTGAGCAACAGGAAGCCAAGATCAACACAACTGCCTCACAGAATGGCAAAGTCCAGATGCTGAGGTCCAGCGGGACCCAGAGCCTGAGGGACACAGTCACAAGCCTCAGTGACCTTTGTCCCACATTCCTGCTCCTTCAATGGTCACATCCTGGGACAGATTCTCCCAGAATCTGCGCCCTCCCCCACTCCCGCATCCAGGAAGGCGTCCCCACTGCTGGCAGCCCCCGAAGAAAGCATGCTCTCCCGACTGCTTCAGCAGATGCCTGGGCCCCATGCCCTCTGCCCCAGTGGGGCCCACCCACCTAAACTCATAACCTGAGAGTGGGAAGGGGGGAACCAGGAGATGTGGGGAAGGGCCAGCAGGAGATGCCCACTTTGCTGGCCATTGTTCCTGCCACTGTGGCCAGAGCGAGGTTCTCAGAGCACCTCAGTGTCAGGGAGCTGTGGACTCCCCGGGTCTTGGGTTTGAACAGTCCGGGTGGCCGTCCTCCTCCTCCCCCATTGGCTTCACACGGAAGCAATCAACATTCTCTTCCCGAATTCCCAGCAATGGGGCCACACCCCCCCGGCGCTCCCGGCTGGTGACCCATGACCAGGGAGGAGGCCTCACGGAGAGGAGATCACTGGAAAGTGACCTCATCAGGTGACTCAGCACCCGAGGAACAGGGCCCAGGGTGTGTTAGGGACCCCGGCCCAGCTGAAGGGCCCCACAGAGCTCTGGAGGACCCAAAGTCACCACTGAGAAAGCAGAGCTGTTTCTTCCTGGAAGGGTGGGGGTGGCAGAGGACAGAGTGGGGAACTGTCAGAGGAAGGGTTGGCTGCATCAGGTCAGGTGCCCCAGAAGGCCCAGGTCTGTTTATCTGGGAGGTAAGGTCTGTGTGATGGGGATCCCAGGTGTGGTGGGGGCGCTCCGCACACAGCAGGGCTCCTGTTCGGTCTCCTGGGGCATCCTCCTATCTCTGTGTGTTTGTCCTTGGTCCCTGCCCTGAAAGCTCACAATCCACCTGATATGGGGTCCGTCCAAACAGCGCAGAGGGTGTGTGCCCAGCCAGGTAGGACCCATTCCCTCTCAGAGGAGACAGAAGCAGGCCGCAGAGAACCCTTGGGAGCTATGGTGGGTGGGAGGGAAGGAAAGAGGAAGCCAGAGGCCTTTCTGGTGAGGAGGCCCCCAGGCCTGGACAAATCCAAGAGGAGGAGATTTGGGTCAAGAAGCAAGACTGACAAAAGAACCGGACTGCCTTCAGAAGCCAGGTGGGAGCATGAGGCCAGACCTTGACCCAGAGCCTGACGGGGAGCAGAGCAGGATCTGGTGCCCCGGGGGACAATCAAAATTGTCCAGGCTGGGTGGGAACTTTCAGAAATTCGAAAAGTGCTTAGCACACCCTGCGTTGGGGCCCCCTTGGATTGACCCTGCTGTGGACAAGTATGCAGATTCAAGGAGAGGGCGGGGTGAGGAAATGTCTATGTGTCTGGGTTGCAGCCCAGGCCTCCAGCTCCCAGGCAGGGGGGTGGTGAGGGGGTAGAATTCCAGGGCAAGGACTGGGACGCCCAGCCTCTCCTAGTGCACGTGGAGGGGACGAGGGGAGGCTTCAGTGGGGAGAGGGGACCTGGGAGGGTGCCTCACCCTGCAGTGCCCCTCCTGGACCCCCAACTCCATCCCCAGCAGCAGGAGAGGATGGGGCTCCAGTTAAGCCCTTAGGGACAGGCAGGTTGGGCCTGAGGTCAGCCACCTTGGGCCTGGGTGACAGGTGACCACCCCCCAATCCCGCACGCAGCTTCCACAGCGGGGGCTGGATTAAGGGTCTCCCAGTCTCCTCTAAGAAAACATTTCTGGAGAAAGGAGGCCTCCTAAGGAGAAAAGCAGGAAACAGCTGAGGATGGAACAGGGCCTAGGAGGGAGCACTGCTGAGCCTGGAGAAAACAACCACGCTACCAGTGGTGATCATGTCAAGGGCTTGTGAGTCCCGCTCACGCTTCATGGAGCTTCATGGAGAGGCCAGTGCTGCGCTGAGAGGTTGAGCGACTTGCCTTAGGTGACACAGCCAGTAAGCTGACAGGGCAGAGAGAACAAGGGGTCCCTCTTTGGGCCATACAGGTACGGATCAGCTCTTTCTGGGAAGGTGCCCACACAAGGCCTGTGACCTACAGTTCTTTCTCCAGAGCTGGGGGAGGGGGAAGGAGTTGCAGATCAAAGCAGTCACATCACCTGGCACCTGTGGATCAGCCTGGAGGTGTCTCTCTCAGTTCTGGGCCTGTGTTTGAGCTGCTGGAGACAAGAAAGACTGTAGGAGGTCCCCAGGACCTGGGTGGACTTTAGAGCAAGTCAGGCCATTTCCCCCAGGGGCCGGCCACCCTCTACAGGGGCCAGGAGGGGTGTCATTGGTGAGGAGAAGAGACCTAAGTGGTAGAAATATAGCAGGAGGCATAATTTTGAGTATCATGGAGAAAAATATCTAGCAGTGTTCAAATGACACTGCTGGCCATTAGTCCTAAGGCCAAGAGTTTTTTTTGCAAAAAGTTATTCATCAAGTCCCTGTGTATAAAAGACAGAAGTTAGAGACACCCCCCACATTCAAAAGCAGTGGAAGGCTTAAATAACTCCTGGTTGCCCACACAGCCATTCGAAGAATGGTGACAAGCCCCTCTCAGCATGGAAAAATGCTTATTGTAAAAAGTAGGAGCCAAATGGTACACTGTGATTTTTCTAGGTAAACACGCTACCAGTGGTGATCATGTCGAGGGCTTGTGAGTCCCGCTCACACTTCATGGAGCTTCATGGAGAGGCCAGTGCTGCGCTGAGAGGTTGAGCGACTTGCCTTAGGTGACACAGCCAGTAAGCTGACAGGGCAGAGAGAACAAGGGGTCCCTCTTTGGACCATACAGGTGCGGATCAGCTCTTTCCGGGAAGGTGCCCACACAAGGCCTCTGACCTGCAGTTCTTTCTCCAGAGCTGGGGGAGGGGGAAGGAGCTGCAGATCAAAGCAGTCACATCACCCAGCACCTGTGGATCAGCCTGGAGGTGTCTCTGTGAGTTCTGGGCCTGTGTTTGAGCTGCTGGAGACAAGAAAGACCGTAGGAGGTCCCCAGGACCTGGGTGGACTTTAGAGCAAGTCAGGCCATTTCCCCCAGGGGCCAGCCACCCTCTACAGGGGCCAGGAGGGGTGTCATTGGTGAGGAGAAGAGACCTAAGTGGTAGAAATATAGCAGGAGGCATAATTTTGAGTATCACGGAGAAAAATATCTAGCAGTGTTCAAATGACACTGCTGGCCATCAGTCCTAAGGCCAAGAGTTTTTTTGCAAAAAGTTATTCATCAAGTCCCTGTGTATAAAAGACAAAAGTTAGAGACACCCCTCACATTCAAAAGCAGTGGAAGGCTTAAATAACTCCTGGTTGCCCACACAGCCATTCGAAGAATGGTGACAAGGCCCTCTCAGCATGGAAAAATGCTTATTGTAAAAAGTAGGAGCCAAATGGTACACTGTGATTTTTCTAGGTAAAAACATGCTTGTTGGAAAGAAACAGGAAAAATAGAAAAGTCAGTAAAGGTTTAATAGCGGTGCCAGATGATGGGTGGGGTAGAGTTCAAACACAGTTAAATTATTTTTGAAAGACTATAACCTAAAGATTAACAAACAGTTCAAAAACAAACGCCATGGCAGAGACAAAGCACTAGCTTTCTGGTTACTTGGCAACATCCATAGGACACATGGCTGGATCAGGAGGTTGAAGTGAAGTCCGTGCGCTGCAGGAAGGCTGGCTGGTGATCACACAGGACTGGCTGTGATAACACCGCGTGGGGACAACCTGAACCTGGGTGGATGGAGCACAGAGGATGGGGGCCAGCTGGCGCTCCTTGCCCGGGGGGAGGAGTGCAGAGCCAGGGCTGTGGGGGTCTCTCTTCTTCCTGCCTCTGCTGAATCTCCTGCCATACCTCCTCTCAGAGCAGCAAGTGACCTGCACTGGGTGAGACCCAGAGCTGGAGCAAGACATCAGGCCGTGCGAGGCCCTTCCGGGAAGAAAGCAGACATGTGTGCCCACCCTGAGCAAGCACTGCTGTCCCACAGGTAACATGCAATGCAGCTGGGGTCCCAGGGGTGGGACACTCTGCCCCTCCCGCTCTTTGCTGCATTTTTCCACGGGGAGAAGGGAGCAAGTTCAGCCCCGAGTGAGGCCCAGGTGGCCTGCTGCAAGTTCTGCAGGAGGGAAGGTGCGGGTAGAGAAGAAAGGCGTGGAGGGTCCTCAGAGCTGGATTGAGAAGGATCCCAGTGGCCCCAGGCTGTGCTCAAACCCCCACTCAGGCTGGTGTGCTGCTGGCAGCGGAGGTCCTGAGGGGGCAGGGATGGGTGAGGCCCAAGGTGGGCTTCAGACCACTGAAGGGCCCTCTGGTGGGAGAGGAGGGAGCAGGGGATGCACTTAGGAGCTCTCTGGAGCTGAGACTCTGCTCTGAGGGTCCAGGGTTTGACTCTTGGCTCTGCCACCTACGAGCTGTGTGGCCCTGAGCAAGTTATTTTAACCTCTCTGAGCCTCAGTTTCTCCAAATATAAAATGGCACTAATAAAAGTGACCCCTCTTATTGGGTTGTTTTGAGGATTAAACGAATCAGCCTTGTGCCAGCATCAGGCAAGGACTGTCAACACAGAGTGCTTGTTCAATAAAAATATAAACTAGTGGCCAGAGCCACTCACAGGGGACGAGGCTGCCACACCAGTGTCATTTGGATGCAGAGATACCCTGCACCTAGTGGGGGGTGTAATCACTGGGGGACCACTGCCCCATCACCTTGGCGCACAAGGAGCTAGGTGAGCAATGAAGTGAAGTGAAAGTCGCTTAGTTGTGTCCAACTCTTTGCAACCCCATGGACTACACAGTGCATGGAATTCTCCAGGCTAGAACACTGGCGTGGGGAGCCATTTCCTTCTCCAAGGGATCTTCCCGGCCCAGGCAGAGTTAGCCCAAAATCATAGCTAAGCCCGAACTGTCATAGGCTTCCATCTGTGGCTGCAGGAGTGGTGGGTGTGGCCCGGGGACTGATAAACACAAGGCTGACTAGGGAGGCTTAGGGTAGGGGGTGGGGACGGCGGAGTAGAAGGGCGGTAGCGGGAGGAGGGAGCCTGGTATGCAAGCAGTAGGGGCGTGGAGGCCTCTGGAGCCATGAGGCCTTCCCCAGTCACTGGGTCTTTCTGGGATTCATTTCAGCTCAATTCCACTTAATGAACATCTTAAAGCTACAGGATATGCTTGGCAAAGAGGATGAACACAGCAGCCTTGTCCCAGAGGGCTCACAAGTGGCTTAGAGGAAGAGACCGACCTCAATCCTGCCAACCATCAGGTGCCCACTGGGCACCAACAACTCCCCCATCAGCACTGGGAACTTGACACAGCCTCATGCACACTTATAACAGCTGGGAAGGGGCACAGAGGCCCTGAGAGGTGATGCAGGCTTCTTTATTAAAGTAACACAGCTCGCGAGGAGGGGTAGTGGGGTTTATGTGTGACTCGGGGTCTGTGCCCTCAGCAACACACGTATCGTCTCCATTGCTACCTGTGATAATAAAGGCGGGAGGAACACATGGTGTGTGTTAGGGAAGAGCTCCAAGCCTCGGTTTATTCATCTGTGCAATGGGCGTAATGACCTCTAGTTTCCTGGGTGATAGGTTCTATTGTTGTTATGGGAGCCCAGAACAGGTAGCAACAGGAGCCACCCTTGAAGGGTAGAAACCAAGTGCTACAAGGCAGGGGGGAGGAGCATGAGCAAAACCCCGAGGGGAACGCAACTGCTCCAGTTTCAAGCGGAGAGGAAGTTTCAGGGCTCAGTTGAGAAGCTGCTTGGCTCCTTTGTTTTTGTCTCCTCCCCTCTGCACCCCAGAGCAAGTTCTACTGGCCTCTGTTTACCCTTTCTCCCTCTCAGGTCTTCCTCAGGTCAGATAGTCTGGCCTCTGCTCATATCACCCATCGCAAACACTCTTGCCAAGGTCCTATTGCCAGTCCAATGGCCATCCTTGGATCTTATCCCTCCTCAGCATCCCAGGCATGCCCCTGACCTCCTCCTCAGAGCACCGCCCTGGGGCTCTATCCACATGTGGACATGCATTCTGGGTTTGCTCCTCTCCATGGACGCTTCTCCTCTGTCTCCTTTGCTGGTTGCTGTGGCTGCTCCTGGACCTACTTCTCCAACACATGCTCACCAGGAGACACATCTGTTCTCGAGGCTTACCCACTGCCTCCATATGGATCCCCAGCCCCCGATCTCTAGCCCAGCATACCCTCTGAGCACGGGACCCCTGTGCTAATCTGCCTGCTGGACCTCTTTCCTGCACGTACTCCAGGCAATCTGAACTCAAAAGAGCCTCAGGGACTCACCACATTCCCCAGTTGCTGCTGCTCCTTCTGGGTCCCCTCTTCAGCACTCAGCATCACCAATGCAGGTTGCCCAAGTCAGACCCTGGGAGTCATCCCTAACATCTCCCTCATTGACACTTGGATGCCTAACATCTTTTGTGCCTTTCCGTCCTCCCCAGAATCATCCCCATTGCTTCAGAGCTCCTGGGATGCCTTCCAGACTGCCCCACTGCACAATGACCCACCCAGCTGCCCCATAGGCCCTTGTAAAATGCAAACCAGCATGGTCACTCTCTGTTCAGAAGCCTTTAAAGGCTCTCCATTATGTTGGGAATAAGACCTGTACTTCATGGCATGCCACTCGGTGTTCCAACTTTTTTTTTTTTCTCTCTTATTTATTTTTATTAATTGGAGGCTAATTACTTCAAAACATTTCAGTGGGTTTTGTCATACATTGACATGAATCAGCCATGGAGTTACATGTATTCCCCATCCCGATCCCCACTCCCACCTCCCTCTCCAACCGATTCCTCTGGCTCTTCCCAGTGCACCAGGCCCAAGCACTTGTCTCATGCATCCCACCTGGGCTGGTGATCTGTTTCACTATAGATAATATACATGCTGTTCTTTCAAAACATCCCACCCTCACCTTCTCCCACAGAGTCCAAAAGTCTGTTCTGTACATCTGTGTCTCTTTTTCTGTTTTGCATATAGGGTTATCATTACCATCTTTCTAAATTCCATATATATGTGTTAGTATACTGTAATGGTCTTTATCTTTCTGGCTTACTTCACTCTGTATAATGGGCTCCAGTTTCATCCATCTCATTAGAACTGATTCAAATGAATTCTTTTTAATGGCTGAGTAATATTCCATGGTGTATATGTACCACAGCTTCCTCATCCATTCGTCTGCTGATGGGCATCTAGGTTGCTTCCATGTCCTGGCTATTATAAACAGTGCTGCGATGAACATTGGGGTGCACGTGTCTCTTTCAGATCTGGTTTCCTCGGTGTGTATGCCCAGAAGTGGGATTGCTGGGTCATATGGCAGTTCTATTTCCAGCTTTTTAAGAAATCTCCACACTGTTTTCCATAGTGGCTGTACTAATTTGCATTCCCACCAACAGTGTAAGAGGGTTCCCTTTTCTCCACACCCTCTCCAGCATTTATTGCTTGTAGACTTTTGGATAGCAGCCATCCTGACTGGCGTGTAATGGTACCTCATTGTGGTTTTGATTTGCATTTCTCTGATAATGAGTGATGTTGAGCATCTTTTCATGTGTTTGTTAGCCATCTGTATGTCTTCCTTGGAGAAATGTCTGTTGAGTTCTTTGGCCCATTTTTTGATTGGGTCATTTATTTTTCTGGAGTTGAGCTGGAGGAGTTGCTTGTATATTTTTGAGATTAATCCTTTGTCTGTTGCTTCATTTGCTATTATTTTCTCCCAATCTGAGGGCTGTCTTTTCACCTTGCTTATAGTTTCCTTTGTTGTGCAAAAGCTTTTAAGTTTCATTAGGTCCCATTTGTTTATTTTTGCTTTTGTTTCTAATATTCTGGGATGTGGGTCATAGAGGATCCTGCTGTGATTTATGTCAGAGAGTGTTTTGCCTATGTTCTCCTCTAGGAGTTTTATAGTTTCTGATGACCATAATCTTGACCTGGGCCTTCTCTGGTAACTGCTTGGTCTCACTTGTGAAATGAGGCTGCTATACTTTTCAAAGGTATAGTGCTATAAGTCTGGGCTTTGGAGTCAGGAAAGCAAGGTCCAGCTTCATGGCTTACAAGCTATATGATTTCCAGGCACTCTTTTTGTTTCACCTCATCATCATCTGTTAAAACCAGACTATAACAGTGCTAATAACTCTTGGGCTAATGCTGGAGTTCTGTAGCATCACATCTGGGAGTGCTAGCAGAATGCTGGTGGAGTCCACCATGGCTGCTAGAGCCCAGTCCCCAGCACATGCTGAGTGCTCTGTAGAGGGCCATTTTTGTGTTTCAAATTCTCCAAGCTGGCTTACTATCCACTGCAGTTTCGTGCCTCCTCTGGATCTGGGCCTGTTGCAGGGCCAGCCTCCCGAAAGCCTCTCTGGTTGACCCTTGATCTGTGGGTGAGCAAACTGGCCCAAAGCCACCTACAGTCCAATGACTTCTCCTCCAGTGCTGTGTGCTGTGCTGTCCAGGGTCCTGGGGCTGCAGGTGGAAAGGAGAAGCCCCTGGACACAGACAGCCCAGACCAGGCCCAGAAAAGCATCAACCAAACCTTGGGTAGAAGTAAGAAACCTACGTGTTCCATCTGTCCTGTGGCTCCTGTCTTAGTCAAATCTTCCTGGGAATTGCTGCTGCTGCTGCCAAGTCACTCCAGTCGTGTCTGACTCTGTGTGACCCCATAGACGGCAGCCCACCAGGCTCCTCCATCCCTGGGATTCTCCAGGCAAGAACACTGGAGTGGGTTGCCATTTCCTTCTCCAATGCATGAAAGTGAAAAGTGAAAGTGAAGTCGCTCAGTCGTGTCTGACTCTTCCAGACCCCATGGACTGCAGCCTACCAGGCTCCTCCATCCATGGGATTCTCCAGGCAAGAGTACTGGAGTGAGTCACCATTGCCTTCTCCACCTGGGAATTGAGGAACATCTTTTCCTGGGACTAGTGGGAGGGGGGGATGTGTGGGTGGTGGGGTGGCTTGAAGACGTTGGCTTTTCAAGAATGACAGGAATTAAGGAGCTGGAAAAACACCTCCAGAACTAGATCTCTTACTGCAGCTGCTTTGGGCAGAACCTTCTTATCCTTCCCTTGGAAGTCTCACCTTTCTCTTTCCAGCACTGTGTATCCTGGTGGAAAAAAAATTAAGCGTCTGTTCTATTCCAGCCCTGAAAAGGAGATCAGTGGGTGTACCCCGTTTGTCCACGGCCCCACTCTCACCGCTCCTCCCAACTCCCACCCTTCTGGCAACTCTCCAGGCCAGAGCGAGCCATGCTGACACTCGACAGCACCTCCAGTTTACCTTGGCTCGGGTCCAGCCCGGGGCGGCCCCCACTTCTCCACCTTTGTTACCCGGCCCCTCTCTAGTGCAAAGAGCAGTTTAAATATAAATCAGTCCTGGACACAAACAGAGCCTCAGCGAGTCTCAGAGCCATCACCGGAACTGAGAGCCCAGGTTTTCGGCGAGTGCAAACACGCAGAGACCGGCTCTGTAAATCTCCCAGACCGCATCGGGAGGGGCGCGGAAGCTCCCCCTCCCTTCACAAACGTAGGCTCCCCTCCAACCACCCTGGATCCCGTTGGCTCCCTCAGCGCCCCTCGCCCCCGCCTCCTGTCTCCTACCCTCGTAGCCCTGCCCATCCCTTCTCTGGCCCCTTCGAGTCTGCGGGGCCCGCGGCGCCCACCCTGCCCCGCCAGCGCCCCGGGTGCCCCCACGCTCCGCAGCCGGCCGCCTCCCCCTGCAGACCTCCCTCTCCCCGGCCCGCCACCCCCCGCCCCCACGCTCCGGCGGGCGGGACCTTCTCCCGGGGCGGTCGAGCCTTGCGGGTCCCAGCCCCCCAGCTGCGGGAGCAGAGACAACTTCGGCCGGAAAGAGGTCCAGCGCCGGCGGCCACCGCGTCACACCTGTCTGAGGGGGCGGCGGCGGCGGGGCGGGGGCGCGCAGCGCCTTTGACACCGGAGGCAGAGGGAGGAGGGAGTGCGCGTTTCATCATCGGCGGCGGCGGCGGCGGCCACTTATAAAACTTCTAGGCGCACACCCTCGCCCTCAGTCTCCTCCGGCCACCGACACGGCGCCCGCCACCCGCTGGCCGCCCGCCCCAGCCCAGGCGCCCCGGCCCCGCTCGCCCGGCCTCCCGCCCCGTGCTGCCGCCTCCATGGGGCTCCTGTCCAAGCCCGACGCGCGCCAGGGTAGCGCCGCCTCTGAGGGCCGAGCCGGCTGCAAACCCCGCTCTATCTTCAGCAACATTAAGGTGAGCGGAGAAGCGGGGCCGTCGAGCCCGAGCAGCACAGGCGCCTGGGAGGCACTGGGGGTGCGGGAGCCCACCCTCGCAGTCCATCGGTCGGTGCTGCGCTCCCTAACGCGTCCCCGCGGACCCCGCACGGCGGGCAAGGG